GGTGCCAGAGGTGAGGTAAGGCCTACCCTGAAAATAAGACCTGGTGCCTCTTTTGGAAGCAAAAAAAAATTAAAATAAGACCCGGTCTTATTTTTGGGAAAACATGGTATTTTCCTTTCCGTTAGATTCGCAATCAGAATGGAATATAAATCAGTTAATCCATAGTACTGTGGTGGATCACCACCTTAACAAAAAGCATTTTGCCAATCTCTAATGCTCTCACCTGTCTCAGTATCCGTGCCGTGGATCCAAATTGAGCTTGATGTTGTTCAATAGCATTTCGGGAAGCTTGGTTAATGGCATTATTAGGGAAGCTTATCACTGGATAAACCTAGGAAAACAACATTTTTAGGATATAAAACTCTAGAATAATAAAAAGAATGGATGGGTAATGTTATTGCCCTACACTAACAGAAACTTAACTGAATGCTGAAAATAAGAGCTAGATACAGCTCTGAAACAGTTTCTGTACTATAGCCAGGCAAGTACAACAGTTTCTGTACTATACCCAGACAAGTACAACAAACATTTACAGTCCAGTCTTTTATTTCAAAACTTTAGACTACAAGGCTGCCCTTGAAGACTACTTGAAAGCTAAGGCTAGTCCTGAAAACAGCAGTGCAAGTAGATATATGTGTGTCTCAATACATCCATGAAACACCACAAATGTGTGAAGTTCACTGGTTGCCAGTACATTTCCAGGTGCAATTCAAGGTGCTGGTGGTCATCCATAATATCCTACATAGCCCAGAGCTGAGTATTTGAATATCTGAGGGACTGCAATGATTTCAGCCTATCATACAAGATCCAACAGGACTGGCATGATCCAGATCCTACCAATTAAACAGTATCATCTGATGGTATCCAGCAGGCACTCTTCTCTTCTGCTGTCCCTGCTCTAAGAAAGAGTTCCTCTCTGATTTCTTGATTCTGCCAGCCTTTAAGAAAGACTCAAAGACTTGGTTCTTGATCCAGGTACTGGGCCAGGTGATCCTATAAGCTCACCCTCACATAACTGACCCAGTTTTATGATCCTTTTTTTCCAGCCATCATTAAGCAAATGCCACACTTGTTAAGTGAACATATTGTTCGCTCTGCAGCATTTTTGAAAAAGAAAAAAAAAAAAAAAAAAAGCTTAACTAAATGCCAATTTTTAGCAAAAATATTATAAATTATAAATCATGGTTACATAACTGCGGGACACTGCAAACAGTTGTAAATGGGCCAGTTGCTGACTTCCTAAAATGCGGTCACGTAATGGGGGTGAGGAACTTTTGCCATCAGAATTTTGGAAACGGGTCGTAAGTACTTTTTCGGAGGGGTCCATTATAACTTTGAACAGTTTCTAAGCAACCAGTCATAAATGAGGACTACTTGTATTTATATTGTGCCATTTGTAATTGTTAAAAGTTGCCGAGTGTTTGTGCAACATGCACATGCATACATTCACGCATGCATAAGTGCATAAATACATGCATTCAAATTGCTTTTTTCAGTCCTGCCACAAGGTAAGCCCTGCGCTTCTACCGAAAGTATTTCATTACCATGTATTGCTCATCCACAAACAGCTTCTTCCCTTTAACTGCTTTGAAGAGTTCAGTAGGAAACCCAGTTCTTTCATCCACCACATATTCAAATACATTATTTTTCCTGTGAAGGCAAACAACACCATTTACAAAGAATACCTTTGGGGCATGCTCTATTTTCACAGCAAAACAGATTCAGAAAAACTCTGTTATCAGGAAGAATAACTGTCAATTGCTTGCCGAAGCCTCTAATGTATATCAACAATGAGGCAGGCACATTATTATTTGGTATTATGTCAAAAAGAGATAAAATAAAGTGAAAAACCAACATTGCTTCTAAAATGATGGTTAATGGTGGCTCTGAAATACAGGCCAATGCCATAATCTAGTCTTATACTGCCAAGTTAAGTGACAAAAGATTGCAAGCCCAATTTTCAAGATTTAACTATTTAAAACTATTTTTGAGATGGAGATCTTCCACCAAGCATTTGTACAGGCTCCAGAAAATTCCAAATGGTGACATTAAAATTCTTCCTTAGAGGAATGACAGCTTAAATTACGGGAATATTCATCAACAGCCCAAATAACTTCATACATGAAAAACAGGCCTTATGTTTTAATCTAACTTAGATGTTCATGGAGTACAATTTTACCTGTACTATGATTATGTATGATACATAGATATCAAAGTCTAAGTTAGCTCACAATTAACCTATTGTTTTTTATTTTAGTAATAGTTTTTGTCATAGAATGCCCAGAACGGAGTTCCGGCACCTTTTTTGGATGGAACCTTGTAGGGTAGACAAGGCGGGTTATATGATATGTGTGAGTTCCGGCACCTTTTTTTTTTTTTTTTTTTTTTACAAAAAAAGCACGGGTTTAATTATTATTATTTATTAAATTTATATATATATATCCCGCCCTTCTCCTTGCGGACTCAGGGCGGCTATTATTACATTATATTACATTATTAATGTAATATAACAGTTTTGAAAGTGGTAAAACCTACAACTGTTGTGAAACAATCTTTATTTTTTTTATCCTAGTAGACATATAAAAATAAAAGTGAAATGTTTCTTCCAACGGAATGGTTTTTCCCTTCTTTTAATTTTACTTCATTTTGCTGTAGAAACATTTCTAAATTGTATCTATAACCTGTAATTCCTATGTATTTCTCCTTTTTTCTTCTCTTCGTAAAATATAAATAAACCAATGAGACTGCATAAATATGGCTTGTAAATTTGATGTCTCTGAAAGAGGATCAAAAAGTTCTTTCAGGACAGGTCTATCAAAGACTACCAGACTTGATGCCTCCATGTTACTTCAGGGCTGGGAACAGTGTGGATCCAAACACCAGTTTAGGCAAGGAAGAGAGACATGGAGAACAGCCTCTGTCTCCTACATGGAAACTCCCAGAGGAATCTGTGGGCCACTGTGAGAAACAAAAAGCTGGAATGAGAATGTTCTTCAGTCTATAGGCTGGCAGAACTTGCCATTCGACTTGCAGCTCAATGTATGTCAGCAACTGTCCCGTTCCTCCACAGTCTAAACAAGCAGTTGTCCCCAAGCCAGAACAGGCATTGCACCTATAAAGAAAATGAGACAAGAAGACATTTTCAGAGAATGGAAATAACATCATGATCCATGCAGCAGTTAAGGATGGAGAAATCTAACAAGAAGAAATCTTTGAAGTTCTTAACACCTTGGCTTAAAACCCACTAGCACTTCCTTAAAGAAACTTTAGTTTATTTCTTTTAATGTAGTTTCATCCCATTCTCTTCTATAGTAATTTACTTAACCAGCCCACTAGAGGAAGTTAATTTCTCTTTCCATCTTTCCCTGCCAATTTCAGATATATTTTTTCCTAATTTCTAGATTCTAAGAGGAGCCACTGAACCAAAAAGATTGCTTTTAAAGAGGCAGGAAGACCCCTGTACAGAATTCTTATGAGGAACACAAATTGTTTTGCATTTAAATTCCTCCCCCCCAAATGCACCACAAATAAGCAGGAAAAGGATATGCCTGTTCAATTTCAGCATGTTTTCCTCAGGATACTGTTCTCTCAGATGGCCTACAATTAATTTTCTTCATAGAATGAGGTCAAAACGACTCAAATACAAGTCAGTTGCCAAGTGTCTGAATTTTGATCATGTGACCATGGGGATGCTGCAAAGGCCATAAGTGTGAAAAACGGTCGTAAGTCACTTTTTTCAGTGCCGTTGTAACTCTGAGCACTCACTAAATGAACTGTTGTAAGTCAAGGATTACCTTTAGCTCAAAGTTATCCAGAGAGCTGTGAGTGCAGAATTCAACCAGGATCTCTTAATTGCAGCCTGACAACTAAATCATCATACCACTTTAGTGACCTTACATCAATTTCCTGGTCAATGCCCTGAATCCTTGGAAAGAGAAATAAGTCTTTGTACTTGAAGTTTCCTGACTATTTTTTTCTCTTCAAAGTACATTTTCAGCACTGAACCAATTTTGTTAAGCACCTGCCAACATTACTATAGGATGGTGATTTGTATTATGCATTTCCTGTACTATTTAATATTATTTATTGTATTTCAAATTTTATATAACTTTTGTAATGTACCCTGAGAATTCCATTTTGATATGGATCAAAAATATAATAATAACAACAATAACAATAATGATGATGATGATATAATAATATAATAATTTCTTCATCTATTCTAGCAACAAACTTATTACAATTAATCCCAGCAGCTACATGGAATAAAATGAGTTGATACACAATTTTATTTATGAATCAAGAAGCCTAGAAGTCTCTGGGTTTCACAAATGAATGATAGACAAGGGGAAAAATTGCATGTAATAAGATAAGACAGTTTACTTACTGTCTCCAAAATACAGGAAAAATAAAAAGAATTGGCAAAAGCAGACTTTTAAATGTCTAAAGCAGTGATGGCGAACCTTTTAGAGACTGAGCGCCCAAAAACTGGCCCACCCCTGCTTCACCTCCTACCCTGCTCCCGCCCCAACCCCGCCTGCCCGTAGGGCCCACTGCAGATTGCCTAGGCAGCCCAGCAGTGCCATGGTGGCCACACCCTCTGCCCGCGCCCCACAGCATCAACTGTGCATGATGGGGCATGAGGGCAGAGTCTTGTCTACACTGCCTGGCTGCCATGTCCTTGGCTGCACTGCTCCGCGTGGGCCACTCTCAGGGGCAACTCTCCTCCAGGGGGGCTGCTGGTGAGGAGGGGGTCGTGGGGGGAGGCGAGGCTGGGGCAACGGCACGTGTTCCCACAGAGAGGGCTCCGAGTGCCGCCTCTGGCACCCGTGCCATAGGTTCGCCACCACTGGTCTAAAGTATCATTTTGTTTATTTATTTTAAGTTCCTTCTTACTTCTTTTTTCTAATGGCTTAGATATTAAAAAATAATAGCAATTTCTTCTTTTATAGGTAGAACTATGGGAATTCAAGAACTAAATAAATTCAGCTCCCTTTTTGTTCAGCTTTTCTGCTGGGCAATGGAGCCATCTGCTGGATCTGGTAGCTATTAGAGTAAAACTTTTAGTTAACAACTAAATATTGACTCTATTCCAGACAGGAATTTCTAACTGTGATCACTGTTACCAACTGGGAATCTCAGGGATTAGGAGACTTTGGGGGGCAGGCGATACTGCATATCATCACAGGTATCAAACAGTAATAATGGGAAAAATTAAATCAAATTGAAAACAGTTTAACTTTGGCCGAAATCTCATGAGTTTCATAAGAGAACTAAGAAATTATGCAACATTAGGCAGGCTATTTCATGTAATTTTACTAATTTAAAAAAAACACCTGGAGATGAGTGGATACTAAGTGCATCACAGACACTACAGCACACATTGGTTTTTGTTAATAATCTAATGTGCTACATATAAAAAGCCTTTTTCTTACACACACACACGCATACCCCCAAATTTAAGAGGTCTCTGATAAAGGCTGGTGTTTCCTTTTTTTCTTTTATGTATCTTTCTTTCATGTATTAGGATCTAGAGGTTTATCATCTTTAGTTCTGCACGAGGTTACACTACCCCAGACAGATCCGGTGCGCAATCTGGGGTTTCTTCGAGACCAGGGGTGTCAAACTGCTGGCCCGCGGGCCAGACGCGTCACGCGGAAGCCATGCCCACCTCATTGCCAGCAATGGCAAAACAGTCCCGATACGTTGCACGACGTCACATGATGTCACGAGTTTGACATGTCTGTTCTAGACTCACAACTCCTGCTTGAGGAGCAGATGGCAGTCGTGGCTAGGAGGACCTCTGTGCAACTTCATGCTGTGTGCCAGTCGTGCCATTTCCTGGATCGTGAGGCCCTACATTTAAGACACTCATACCCTGATCATCTCTTATCTGGACTACTGCAATGCGCTCTACATGAGGCTACCCTTTAAGAGTATTCAGAAGCTACAACTGATTCAGAATACAGTGGCGCAGACAGTTCTGGAGGTGCCAGAGATAGCACCATTGTTACTCAAGCTGCACTGCTTGCAGATCTGCTTCTAGGTCCAAGTCAAAATGTTGGTTATCACCTTTAAAGTCCTTTATGGGATGGGGCCAGGTTATCTGAAGAACTGTCTTGTCCAATGGGACTGGCCCACCCAACACATTCCAGCAGAAAAGGCCTGCTGTGAACCCTGTCAGCCAAGGAATTTCAGTTGGGGAATCTTTTCTGTCATGCCACCCCTCTTACCACTGGAGGTGTAGTTTAATCCAGAGGCCCCCAACCTTTTAGGCACCAGGATCGGTTCTGGGGGGGAGAGGTTTTTTCGCGGACCAGAGGGGGCGTGGTTTTGTGTGCTGCCTGCATCCCATGGATGGGGCTTCACTGGTTTGCACGGCCCAGTTTCTGGCATGCTGTGGCCCGGTGCCCATCCACGGACCGGGGGTTGGGGACCTCTGGTCTAATTGCATGCATCTGGTTTCCAAAGGCCTTAAGACTTGGCCCTGCCAGTTGGCATGGGGACCCATTTGGAAAATTTTAGGATGGAGATGACAGAGAAAGCATCACCCTTGCTCCATGCAAATTCTTGTCATTTTAATTGTTCCTATATTTATATATATATATATAATATTTCTATTTGTATTGCATGGTAAGCTGCCCAGAGTCGCTATGGCTAGCAAGAGGAATGGCATATAAATTTAATAAATAAATACATCTCCCTATATGTTGTATAAATATATTTTTCCATCTGTTTTGTTCCACTTTGGAATCCTATATAGCAAATACTATAAGTATGCCGATGACATAAGGTTCCAGAATGTCATTTATTTGTCGTCTTTATATATTCCATAAATTCTGGTCCAGATGCTGTCCTTCTCTCTCCCTGTGTCACTGGGGGGGGGGGGAGACTAAAAACACCCTTATTTTAAGGATCCCAACAAACCCATAAGCCTTCATACTGGACAAATCTACATGCAAGGACTTCTGGCTGTAGAAAATTGCATTATACTCATGGAGACCAGCTCTGCATCGATAACCCCAGTGCAACTTTAAAGAACAATAGGGGCTGCTCATCATAGCTCACATGATGGCTTCCATACTTGTTTATAAGGCCCAAACATACTGCAACTGGAGAAGACACACAATTCAAGCAAGGATCTCTTCTTGATTCACTTGAGATATATTCAATTTCCACGCTGATCTGGAAAGTCACCAAATATTTCTTTGAAATGCAGAGCAAAACAAAACAGACTTATTTTTCCCTTTCTGGTTTCTCAGACAGCTGCATATCAAAATGAGGGCTGCTTTTCAAACTTCATTTCAATTAGCACAGGATTCCGGTTCTTTCAATAAAAATAACATTAGCATTTCTATTGCACTTTTGTATGCTATTTCCCTAAAACGTGTTCTCATTTCTCCAAGGAAATTCAAAATTATGCTTCCTCTTATTTTGCACCTAAAGTCTATTAGGCAGTCTTAGTAAGTTCAAATTAAGAGTGAGATCTGAAACCAGGAAGCTGCTTGTCCACATAATGATGTGACAGGCAAATAACCTGTTTTGCATGCATGTCTACTCAGGAGGTCCATGCAAAGACTTGTAAGGACTTGTTGCTTTGAATGAGGCTTCTCCAATACAGTTCCACAGAGCAATGCAACCTCTCCTTCTAGACCAGGGGTAGGCAACCTTGGCTCTTTTATGACTTGTGGACTTCAATACCCAGAATTCCTGAACCAGCCATGATGACTCAGGAATTCTGGGAATTGAAGTCCACAGTCATAAAAGAGCCATGGTTGCCTACCCGTTCTAGACAGTATGTACCAAATGTCTGCACATGCAGAGAATTCAGCTCTGCTGAAGCAAAGCAGCCAGGTGATGTGGCCCACTTCAGGGTTTTCAACTGGAGCCACCAAGATAAAGTGGTGCTTCAGTGATTGGGGATGAGGCAGCTGCACAAAATGAAGTTATATGTTGCCTCACATAGCAATAGTAATCAGTATGTAGCAACAATCAACCAATGAAAAAGTTTGCCTTCAGATATTGCGGGAGCTTCATCACTGGAAGCTTTCAAAAAGAGACTGGACTGCCAACTGTCAGAAATGGTGTAGGGCAGTGTTTCTCAACCTTGACAATTTTAAGGCATGTGGACTTCAACTCCCAGAATTCCACAGCCAGCACTGGTGTAGGGTCTCCTGCTTGGGTGGGAGGAAGGGGATTGGACTAGATGACCTACAAGATCCCTTCCAACTCTTTTATTCTAATCTAATCTTGTTTTACGTCCACAAAAGAGACCTCAAACAAGATGGATCGACAACATCAGCAAGTATTGTGGGCCCAGTTGGTAAAAGAAAGCTCAAGATCTTATTGATTGGAAACATGCGGAAGAGGCCTCCATCCTGAAATGGATAAATAATGGCTAGAATGATGATGATGATGTAGCAATAGCAATAGCACTTAGACTTATATACCGCTCCATAGTGCTTTATAGCACTCTGAGTGGTTTACAAATATGAGCATATTGGCCCAAACCCTCTAGGTCCTCATTTTACCAACCACAGAAGGATGAAAGGCTGAATCAATCTTGAGCTGGTCAGGATCGAATTCCTGGCTGTAGGCAGTCAGCCTGCAATACTGCATTCAAACCACTGCACCACCATGGCTCCATGTAAATGTTATGCCAGTATTTGAACACATCCACGTGTAATAGGCCGAAGAAGTAACTTGAGGAATAGGAGGAAAAGACACAACCAAGGCCAGATAAAAGAAATCTGAGTCCAGGGCAGAAACGTCATTCGATGAAGCATCTTAGACAGGACCATCCCAGTTCTCACAAAGATAAAGGGAGGAAAGGGGGAAGTATATTCAGACTTGTAGGATTTTACTGCTGTAACCTTATAATAAAAGTAGAATTAGCATCGTGATTTTGGTTTCCTAGTCTGTCTAGCTTAAAGGGCTGGAATCATGTAGGACAATCCATTATCAGATTATTTACAGTGTTATCACCTAGCTGCGGTTTACAGAACAGAAGTGAGCACAATCATTTTCTCACACTCAAGCCTAGACTGCAAATAAAAAGGAAGTACACTAACTCACGTACATGGTTGTTCCCGTTCCAGAACAAGTAGAACACCTCTGGTTAGTGAACTGGGATCCTGTTCCATTACACACCCAACATTGTTTCTGTTGACATATAACATCAAATAGAGCATTAAATTAACGGGATTTCCACCAACAATTTTTTCATTAGTCAAAAGCAGACCTCTGTGCTCCTCTTTGAAAAAACAGCACTTTATATAGAGAGTGGTTTTAAGATTGGGCAGGATTGTGAAAGTGTTTAGAAAGATGCCTCATTATGAAATTCCTTTCCTCTAAAAATTCTTCCCTCCATGGAAACTGTCATCACAGTTCTATTCTCAATGGTTGATAGAATAGTAAATAAGAAAACCTGAGCTGCTGGTATAATGAGGAGAACGATGCCCAACCATCAAAGTCATCATTCTTTCTGTAAATAAATTCACACTGAAATCTGTGAACATACTGTGCAGCCAGGTGCTATTTATAACAGTAGCAACCATTACTTAATAGATCCTCTAGGTCAGGGGTAGGCAACCTTGACTCTTTTATGACTCGTGGACTTCAACTCCCAGAATTTCTGAGACAACATGGCTGGCTCAGGAATTCTGAGAGTTGAAGTCCACGAGTCATAAAAGAGTCAAGGTTGTCTACCCCTGGTCTAGGTCTTCAGGAGGCATGACACTGTAAGAGCAGTGATTGGTTATTTCTTCTAGCTAAAATATGACTATCGCCAACCACAGGAAAAGCTACCAATCCCTATACAGAGTGTATGTTGTGCTGGTCTTTGAAGATCCAGGTATTCGACTGAAAAATTTTCTCCAAAGGATCTATTAAAGTAATTACCACTAGGTGACAAAAAGTTAAGAGTCTTAACTGCAGAAGAATTGGTCACCTGGATTTGTGCAGCTGAGATAAAGCTGCTGTTAGGTCTTCTTGCAGATGGAGTTCAAGATGTGTGAGAAACACATCCAACTGTGGGGTGCTCTTGTGTTTCTCAAAATGGCTGGTTGACCAGTCAACCTGTTACTGAACACTAGGTAGTTAATAGAGGAGTGTGAGAAACACTTTCCTGATTCGTGTGTCAAATTACAGCAAATCACATTTCCCATCATCTCAAAGGGAAGGAGCTGTAAAATGTGGTTCCATGTTGAAACCATTTCTGTGCCAGGTTTCATTCTAGAACATTGTGTGAGGGGCAAGGGAGGAGGTCACTGGGAATCTCCTGCCATACCACATATGTTACAGAAATATAAGACCCCAGTCCTTTCAATTACAATTTCAGTCAATTTCAGAGGTATGCACTCGCCAGGTCAACCAATATGTGGCTGTGAAAGCTGGGTTTGCAATCTCCCTCAAAACATCACTGTACAAAGATGACTGCTCAGATGGAGGCAGCTCCAAAAATAGAGCTCCTGGGGCAGTTGTAATAAAGCAGATGTTTACCCTAACCAGCTCACCTTGAACTTCCACCATACACCTCATGGACTGTCCAAGTGGGAGAGCTTCTTCCATTTCCTGTGAAAAACACTCCCTCGATGGTGGAATGCCTGGAACAGGCTTCAGTCTACCTCCCCAGGAGATTATTGGCAAGAGGGAGGTTTATGGGGAAGACATATCCTCAAATAATGGTAAGTAGGGCTGGATGAATGACCCATCAGATACTCAATAAGACCTCTTTCTGCCAACAGGCTTTTCAACCATAATATTTTCATTAGTATTTCTCCTAGCTTTCTATTATTTGTATTAGCCCAATTTGCAAACTGCTCTGAGGACATCAACTTTTTTATCTTTTATTTTTTTTAAAAAAAACCTTTTCTTCAGGGAACTTTCCACATGAAGCAAGACACGTCTCTGACTTAGAAGTACATACCCTCGTGAGGCAATGGCACTGGGTGCAGGGTCGTCTGCCAGAACAGCCACATATCGGACATCCCTTCAAATAAAAAGAGGTGTTAGAAGGCAGCCTTTCATTTTTACTGTGACTGGCTCAACTTTGACAAGAAATGTAAAATGATTCATTAGCGCCAGAAAGTTATTTTCTTTTTCACTTTGCCTAGGGTGGTGTTTCCAACCTCTACACCAGTGATGGCGAATCTTTTAGAGACCGAGTGCCCAAACTGCAACCCAAAACCCATTTATGCGTCGTCGGGTGCCGGGTGAGTGTGGCCCATTGGGTAGGTGTGGCCTATTGGGTGGGCGTGGCTACAGTGGTAACAGCAGACTGGGTGGGACTAAAAAGTTCAATCAATCAATTCCAACTATGCAAGATCTTTTTTTTCCCTGCAAGAAGTTGAAATTGACTGATTGAACCTTTTTTTTTTTTTGTACACGGTGGTGGAGGCCTAAAGTGAAAAGGTTTTATAAAACCCAGCTGAAGGCCTAGGACTGGGGCGATGGTGCGCGTGCCCACAGAGAGGGTTCTGAGTGCCGCCTCTGGCACCCGTGCCATAGGTTCGCCACCACTGCTCTACACCAAAGTTACCTTATTCTTACACTGTGATGTGGCCCTTCTAAACCTCTTTCACTTCTTTGTCTTCATACATTAACTGATAAATTCTGCAAAATTGTCAACCACCTTGTCCTTTATTTTATTATTTTATTTTATTTTATAGCCATTTATAACTCTGGCCTTATTAACTTCTAAACAGCACTGTCCCTCTTCAATATGCTGGCCATGCTCCATACTTTCCTCTTGAAAATCCTTTCCACAACAACAAAATAAAATAAAAATAAAAATCAGAGCTGGTAATAATTGCTTCATGATTAAAGAAAGCACTCTGAATTAATGATTCCTATAACTACAGCCACAGTCCCCTGTTCTTGGGCAAAAGGCCTGCACCAACAATAAAAGGAATGGTGTACTAAATTTAGTTTTTCATAATCATGTTTGAAATGTATATATAATCATTTACTTGAATGAATCTTGTAACAATCATCTCCAGTTTCCATTTTTTTTTAGGATTTTTCAACTGTGATTTTCATTTTTCTTTGAATAGCAAAAAAAATTCCAAATAATAATAAGAATCCTATAAATAAAATACTACTACTTATCACAATCTAACTGTGAGGAGAAAACAAGACAGTTTGTACATGGTAGTTACGTAAGCTTGTGTTTAAGCCTCAAACGCGTTTACCTCTGCCTATTAGCATCTCCCATGAATAGCATATGTACTACATCTTTCCGGGTCAGGCTTTGTTTAATATGAAACATGTCTGAATGCAGAACTTGGAAGACTTTAACCACCTGCCTCTTTTCTAATCTAGAAAGAAAACGGGCTGGTCATTTAGGCAAAATGACTATTAAAGCACCCTCAGCACTCCCAAAACAGGCTCCTCATAGGAAAGGTGGACATGATTGCTTAGAAATGCTTCAATTACTTTCTTCAGTCAACCCCAAAGAAATCTCCATTAATGTTCCATAGTGACAGAAGTGTGAATTAGAGTGCAAAAGTCGGTGATTGTTATTGACCTTCTTTCAAGGAAGCAGCAGGAGCTTGAGAATTAAGGCTGCAATTCTGTGCACATATACACCTCCCAAACCAAGCTCTACCTAATACAATGCAGTTTAGATTGTCTAAATGAATAAATAATGTAAAGCAAAGTAGAGAATTGTACTGAAGAGACAAAGAGAAAGAAAGAAAGAAAGAAAGAAAGAAAGAAAGAAAGAAAGAAAGAAAGAAAGAAAGAAAGAAAGAAAGAAAGAAAGAAAGAAAGAAAGAAAGAAAGAAAGAAAGAAAGAGAGGAAGGGAGAGAGGGAGGTCCTGGCAACTAAAACGTCGTCCCATTTTTGCTTTCTGTACCTTTACGGATGATGTGTGAGGCACTTTAACTCTTACGATGTTGTCTTTGAATATCTCAGGAACTTCTACTCTCATGTCCCAGGGAGAAGGAGCTCCACCATACATAGCAGAATCGACAGGTTCTCCTGATCGAAGCAACGATGATTGGACAATGTCATAACATTCTATCTTGCGCATGAACATTTCCGCAGCATAGCTTGAGGCTCATATATTTAATTTCAATAGAAGGGAACATATGTAACTCAGGGATGAACTGTGGAATCCTTAGTGCTCGCTGAGCTTGGTTGTTCGCTTCCACACATTTCATTACCTAACTAGGTAACCAGATAACTGCATTCCTAACCCAGATACTCTCCCTTTGTGGACTTCATCTCCCCAAATTATCATGTTGGTTAGAGAATTCTGAGAGTTGAAATTCTCATCTTTTTTTACTGTGTTTATTTTCTTAAAATAGTTCCCTAGTGCTGAGAGGGTATAAAATAGTAATAATAGCAAAAAGAAGCACATTTTTCTCAGAAAGCAGATAAAGTCTGAATGTCATGCAGTTCATATATTTCATCCTACCTATATAAATGAGTTAATATTTAAATATTTTAAAAAAAGTTTTCCCTTCCAAGGAACTCAACAAATTATACAGTTCATTATACTAGTGGAATTCTTAAACAGCGCTATTGGTTCATAAATCACAAAATGCATCACTGTGTCCAAATTAATAAATTTTTGTAGTAATGTAAATAGATCATGAATTTCCTAAGCTCACATTAATCCTGCACTGGTGCTGTAAAGCTACATCCATTATCCTTTCTCTTGGCAGAAATTAACTACTAAAGTCTGAAAGTGAGGACAAGTATACTAGCTTCACCCTACGTTTTGTTATCCTCATATACTCCTCAAATTGAGGTAAGAGACTCTTTTATATCCATGTTTTTTCCAGTGTACTGGATCAAGCATAGAATCCTGGAATACAGAACACTCTACGGATAGAGAAATTATCCTCACACACTTATAGGATGAAGCATATCTTTACTCCCCATTTTGCTACTAAAAAAATGAATGTATAAATAGGTTTGAATGTTAGAACAAAATTGAATGTGGCATGAGACAATGGAAATTGATGATGAGCAAACAAGACATCTCCAGTATGGAATTTGAATCCCATATGAAGCTTAATACAATCCAATGCCATCTCTATAACTTCCACAAATACCTCCGGAAAGAATATACAGATTTGAAGACAAATCTACAACATATTGGGGCAGCAAAATCAAAGTCCTACCATAGCCTAGCAACACTTACCTCTATATGGTTGGGTTTTCCATAATGAAGACCTTGATTCAGTGAAAGTCTCCAAGTAATACTAAAAAGAAATCAGTAAATGTAAAAAAACTACATTTAGTCTCAAAAAGTAGCAGATTAACAGAAATCTCCAAGAAATATTGCCAAAGGCAGCCATGGCATGCAAAGAAAATCAATATCTTTATATATAATATATAAATGTAAAACTGCCAGTTTAAAATTCTAAGTTAAGACTGCTTTAACTAAAGTTTTATTCCACTCAGTCCACATAACTACGATATTGGAAGCTACAGATGTTGGCTTTTTGGAACTTTGTGAGCTCATAGACATTTCATTACAAGGCTAGGTAATACCATCAGTGTGAGGGAGGGAAGGGTTTGCTGTTTGATTATACACAGGAGTTTGCCCTGCCAGCTACTTTTGTTTCTTCCGTGTTTTCCTGGTGGGTTTCGTCTTTATCTGGACTTGACTGCTGGAGGGGATGTGTTCTAGGCTGTTTGTTTCCTTCCTGGATTTTTGACTATATCTTTAACATAGTATGTAAAGGGAGTTTATCGCGATGTGTCTGTTGGTGGTTGCTTTGTCTGAATGCCAAACTTCTAATAATTCCCAAGCATTTTAGCATAAGAGAGTATTAATTATGTCCCCATAGCTGCCAACAAGGAAGGACTGTCTAGAATTATGGTGTGTTGTTATTGTTGTTACTATTACAATTTAGAGTGAGTGTGGCCCATAGCCACTAACTCCCATTCAATCCACCAAACAGAATCCAGAAAATGAAAATTATGTTCTGTATTATAAAGTCATAAATGCAAATGTATCCAAAGTTGAACTAAAGGTTACAAAAGCCAGAAAGTCAACTGATTTTTATGAAGTTTTTGTTCCTCTTCCCTTCCTGCCTTAAACATATACAACTCTGTACATAAGACATTGAGCAACAGATGACTTTCTCAGTCCAACTGGGCATCACGTTATCTGCTTGTGCTCCCACAGGTAGAATTACAGTGAATTATCAAGTTGCCAGTTTTTATTCTCTTTTCAGTCATTTATTTCATAGTTGGAAGAGTCTATTTTCATCACTGATATTTTATTGAAAAAAAGTAAATGGGTAAGGAAAGGAGCAGGGAGAAAAAAAGAAAGGAAGAAAAAAGCAGCAAGCCACAGAGGAAAAACAAATCATATCTGAACAGAAGTGACAGTCTCTTTAACATTTTCTCCATTCTTCCAGTCATCGCTACAATAAGTATTATTTTCCAGTGGCATAGATAGGTGTCCATTTCTCTCCATGATGCCAAAATGACAAAAATGTGCAATGTGACCGTGTTTGCACTATGTTTTGTCACTTGCCTATGTTTTGTCACACCTTGGATTCAGATCAGAAGATGGAAATTTAATTATGATCTTAATAATAATAATAATAATAATAATAATAATAATAATAATAATAATAATAATAATAATAATAATAATAATAATAATAATAATAATAAAGTTGGAAGGGACCTTGGAGGTCATCTAGTCCAACCCCCTGCTCAGGCAGGAAACCCTATACCATTTCAGACAAATAGCTGTCCAGTCTCTTCTTAAAAACTTCCAGTGTTGGAGCATTCACCGCCTCTGGAGGCAGGTTGTTCCACTGGTTAATTGTTCTCACTGTCAGGAAGTTTCTCCTTAGTTCTAGGTTGCTTCTCTCCTTGATTAGTTTCCACCCGTTGCTCCTTGTCCTGCCTTCAGGCACCTTGGAAAATAGCTTGACTCCCTCTTCTTTGTGGCAGCCCCTGAGATATTGGAAAACTGCTATCATGTCCCTCCTCATCCTTCTCTTCATTAAACTAGACATACCCAATTCCAGCAGCCTTTCCTTATATGCTTTAGCCTCCAGTCCCCTAATCATCTTTGTTGCTCTTCTCTGTACTCTTTCTAGAGTCTCAACATCTTTTTTACAGCGGGGTGACCAAAACTGGATGCAGTATTCCAAGTGTGGCCTTACCAAGGCATTGTAAAGTGGTATTAACACTTCATGTGATCTTGATTCTATCCCTCTGTTAATGCAGCGTAGCACTGTGTTGGCCTTTTTGGCAGCTGCGGCACACTGCTGGCTCATATTTAGGTGATTGTCTACTAGGACTCTGAGGTCCCTCTCACAGTTACTACTACTTGTCTAAGACCACTGAACGAATTTGTAGAAAATGGAACTTCCCATCAATTGCTACACCTCGGGTGAATATACACAAATATTGTAATCCTCCTTGGACATCAATATGCCATGCTGTCCTCAATAAGGTGGATAGTAACTGGAGAAAGAATCTGCTGGGTTATAGTTCCTGTTTTTATTATTCTCCTGTTGGATTCACTTCAGATAGACTACTGAAAACCTGTGGCACCTTGAAATAGAGAAACCTATATACTTTTCATATTTTCCACATCTCCTTTCTGAAGCCCTTTATCCTGAAATTGCATATTGTTTTGTATGAAGTGGTTCATTTTACTTTTAAATATTCATTGTGAATTACATTATGTTCTTTACAAAAGCCAGAAAACTGCAAATATTTCTGAACATATTCAGATCAATAGACGCAAGAAAACTGTGTGTAATAAAATCAAGACCATCAGGGGGGCTTTTTGGTTCAGTCTCATAAATAGATCAATTTGCCTTATTACGGAAAAAAGTGATTGGCACTGGCTCTTCAAAGCTTTCCCTGCATACATTAGAAAATATTCCAATCTTGTTGGGAAAAGTTGGGGTTGAAGTTATAAGTTTATACATATATGCGCAAAGCACTCTTCTACCCTGTTACTAAATATCATCCATCTCAGTTCAATTTCCCAATAACTATGCCTCTCCTGAGTTTACTCATGTGGAGAAAGAATTTGGTCACTGATAAAGTTATGTGATTTCCACAAATAATTTTGATCGATAATCTCATATCATCTGAAAATAAATCTGAATTCAGTTAAGAACGATTTTGGAATAGACACACCCACATATAAAATTGCAGCATCGGTTCCTTTAAAGCATGCTGCACAATATGTTCCTGAAAGCTAGCAGAGAATTTACTGTTTAATTATTTAAGCTTGTGACCCACATTTCTTACCAAGGTCTTTATGCATCATATAGCCTAAATACAATATAGGTAGTCCTTGACTTACAACCACAAAATTTCTGTTGCTAAGCAAGACTGTTCTTAAGTAGGTTTTGCCCAAGTTTACAACCTTTCTTGCCACAGGTATTAAGTGAATCACTGCAATTGTTAAGTTAATCGCGTGGTGGTTCAGTGAATCTGACTTTGCCATTGACTTTGCTTGTCAGAAGGTCGCAAAAAGTGATCCCATGACCCCGGAACATGCAACCGTCATGAAGACATGCCAGTTGCTAAAGGTCCAAATTTTGATCGCGTGATGCTGCAACAGTCATAAATGTGAAAAACGGCCATAACTCACTTTTTTCAGTGCTGCTGTAACTTCAAACAGTCACTAAACACATAGTTGTAAGTCGAGGGCCACCTGTGCATGACGCATATACAGCTTGTTTCATGCACACACATTCTAACGCCGCATTCTGCTTACTCTGTAAGTGTTCAGTGCTAGGAGATCCTGAAACACCAAGTCTCTCGCTGGAGCTTTACTGTAGCAGCACTTGCTTGCAGCATACTGGATAAAAGCTTCTTTGGCTTCATCTTCTGAAATAGCAGGAATGCTGTATGGCAAGCAAAAGCAATGGAGACAGTAAGTATAAATCACAGCGCAAATACTCCTCTAGGACAGGAACATGGTATATCTTTTGAGTTGCTGGATATGTTCGGAATTTTTAGAGCATTTATGAATTCTCTCACAAAATGAAAAGCCCCGGTTGGCACACTCGGTTGCAGAGCCTCATTTATCAGGTGACAAAATGAAAGAGGGTGCTACGGACTTAGGATTCTCATCGCCTCTCTCAGTGATTTTGCGTTTTAGTATTTATTTCTTCTTCTTCTTCTTCTGGCCAAATGGGCATGTTTCCTCCAAAAGCAACTAATTGTAGCCACCCATCATTTTTATACATTCAAAGAAAGCTTTGGGGGAAGAAAGGTGATGCTGGAAACAAGTAAATGTAAGCCATGTGGCTACAGTAAGGGTCCCCAATCCCCGGTCTGTGGACCAGTACCGGGCTGCGGCATGCCAGCAACCAGTCCACACGAACAACCAAAGCCCCATCCACAAGATGCAGGCAGCACACAAAACCATGCATTCTCAGGTCCGCGGAAAGACCTCTCTCCACGGAACCGGTCCCTGGTGCCCCAAAGGTTGGTGACCTCTGGGCTACAGGATGCTGAGAAAACCATGCTTTATAAGAAACCTAACCTTCCCTCAATAGAAGAAGCTCTTATTTCCTGCCTGATCTATTTCACTTTACAGGTAGTCCTCGACTTATAACTTTTCATTTAGTTTGAAGTTACAATGGCACTGGAAAAAAAGTGATTTATGAATGTTTTTCACACATACGACCATTGCAGCATCCCACATGATCAAAACTGGGGCCGTTTGGCTCATATTTATGATGGTTGCAGGGTCCCGAGATCATGTGATCAACTTTTGCGACCATCTGGGGAAGCCAGATTCACTTCACAACCATATTACGAACTTAAGAGCTGCAGTGATTCACTTAATAACTGTGCCAAGAAAGGTCGTAGAATGGGGCAAAACTCACTTAACAACTATCTTGCTTAGCAAGAGAAATTTTGGGCTCAATTGTGGTCGTAAGTCAAGGACTACCTGTGTAGTGAAATGCACTTTCATTTTCTCTTCCTCCAGATAGGCAGCAGATAACCACTTAGTTTGAGGCAAAGGAAAAATAAAAATGGATGATTAGAAGATTTAAAAGAACAGTATCCATCTTACTTCCAGTTTGTCTGAGCTGGCATTGGCTCTCTTTCCCGATAAGGAAGCGAATCGGATGGAGGAGGGAAATACTTCCCTGCTGCAAAAGAAGGGAGTAAAGATGAGAAAAGAGGTTGCTGGTTAAACAATGGCCTAATGGTCTGTGGTCGAAGGAGCAGTGAGAGTGGCTTATCCCATTGTTAAGTCATCCTAAATCAAGATTCTTATTCTCCAGTAAGTTTCCTGCTATGCTCAGGATGCATTTGTTTACAGTATAATCTGTAATCTGTTTCCTTACAGACTGTTACCAAATGAAAGCAACAGGTGATAGTCGAGCAGCTGGCCAATGGATCATTTAAATAGAGTTAACAGACCTATTTTTTTCCTTCTGTTTGCAAGGGGAAATATATGCATTTCTGTTCTGTTGTAAGTCCCATAGTATTCAGTGGCTCTCCCCATTAGGTCAGTATATTTGAGATTTTAAGTCCTGTACAGACAGGACCCATCTCTTGTTGCCCTCCATGTTGGGGATGAAAATAATAATAATAATAATAAAGTTGGAAGGGACCTTGGAGGTCATCCCCCTGCTCAGGCAGGAAACCCTATACCATTTCAGACAAATGGCCGTCCAGTCTCTTCTTAAAAACCTCCAGTGTTGGAGCATTCACCGCCTCTGGAGGCAGGTTGTTCCACTGGTTAATTGTTCTCACTGTCAGGAAGTTTCTCCTTAGTTCTAGGTTGCTTCTCTCCTTGATTAGTTTCCATCCGTTGCTTCTTGTCCTGCCTTCAGGCGCTTTGGAAAATAGCTTGACTCCCTCTTCTTTGTGGCAGCCCCTGAGATACTGGAACACTGCTATCATGTCCCCCCTCGTCCTTCTCTTCATTAAACTAGACATACCCAATTCGAGCAGCCATTCCTTATATGCTTTAGCCTCCAGTCCCCTAATCATCTTTGTTGCTCTTCAAGGGAATGCTTTTAGGTTCATGGAAGGAGTGTGTATGATTGATTTGAGAACATTCTCACTCTCTGGAGAATGTCCATAACCTTTTCATGGTAGACTTTCATTCTCTCCAGTTGTGTTTTTATTTTATTTATTAAAAGTATATGCCACCAATCTTGCTATCCAGAGTGACTGCAAGTGGTAAGATGAGCAAGCTTGTCCATATTTCCCTCAAAGCAATGGGAGCAACCTCTCCTCTCTCTGCTTCAGATAGTCACTGTCATTATTTGCAATGGAATGTTTCCACACCCTCCTCATTCACTCTTTTTCTACATCTCCATCTGCCGCTATTGCCACACTCCACAAATGTAAATTGATGTATTGTTTGCAGATCAAACAACAAGAGCCATGGTGGCACAGTGGTTAGAATGCAGGATTGCCGGCTAACTCTGCTGACTGCCAACAGTTCAATTCTTACCAGGCTCAAGGTTCACTCAGCCTTCCATCTTTCCAAGGTCAATAAAATGAGGACCCAGATTGTTGGGGGCAATAGGCTGACTCTGTAAACAGCTCAGAGAGGGCTGTGAAGCGGTATGTAAGTCTAAGTACTATTGCTATTGCAATGTAATTATTGGGGGGAAGGGAATCTTCCTTTCAGAAAAATACGGTAATTCCCCCAAAAGTAACAAATTTAATTGTCCCAAAATCAACACAAGAACCTTGGGACACTTTAGCATCTAATATATGATAGTGGAGATATCATCATTTGCATCACATCTACACCAGACTTACCATCTCCAATTGTAGTGCCTTCATAGCCAGACACATTGTTTACATCAAGGGCAAGAGGAGCAGAAGCTACTTCAGCTGTCATAACAGGAGGGGTGATCCCTATAAAATGCAACAGAGAAACATTAATACTGTCAGCATACAAGCATTTAACCATATGAAACACAGCATCTAATATATTATCTTTCTTTCCAAAGTCATATGGTACATAATTGAAAGTAAAGTCTAAAATGTATTTCTCCCCAAAAGGATGGTCACTTGATACAACCATTAATTTGTGCATCTTAATACGGACTTTGTCTTCAGAAAACTTTAAAACAGAGATGGGCAGGTCACCCTGCTTACAACTGGAATGTTAAGTCTATTTTCTCCCATTCTTTATAGGATAATATAGATGGATTGTCAGTATATACTGGGAATGTAGAAGAACAGGGGATGATAAGGAATCTATTTACCTTAGAAGTCAACAGTAGGTTTTTATATAGCAATAAAACTAACTACTGTAATTTATTATCTTAAGACCAGAAGCATGGCAGGAGGGCAACTTAACTCCAGAACCTTAACATTAAAATAAAATGTTTCTCTTAAGTCCTTTAAATGACCTAACTGTGGGCCCAGTGCAGCTTACTCTAGTAATTAGAGGCTACAAGCTTTGTGAACAGCATAGAACCTGTAAGGTTATGATAACTGGCAACCTTGTGTAGAACTGCTGTCTCTGTGATTCTTCTCACCTCATACATAAACAATACCAAACTGCCATGCAAGTAGGAAATCTTCATGACACCAGCAAGACCCACATTCCTTACTATATAACATCTAAAGGAAGTTTTGAAATGTGCATCAGATGTCCTCTGGTGGTGCTGATTTACTCAAGGATAAAGATAATAAACCCATTCAAGCTTTCCTGCATTTAGAACACAAGAAGAATCCATCATACTGTTACCATGATTAGAAGGGGCCACTTGCAGGGTATGCCTCTGGTAAGTTAATGTCTATGTGAAGTGATCCCTCTTCCCCAGATAACCAGATGTCCCCTCTTTTCAATAAAATATCCTCTACATCCTTATCTTTTTTATAAATATTTTATTAATTTTCTAGTTTTACAGTCAAATACTTAATAGACAAAGTGTTGTCTATGTCCATTAGTAATTCAGTTGTATATGTTAATTTCTTCAGTCTAGATCCAATATTACACCATCAAATGTTTCCTTTCTTCCTCCGGTAGTACCTGTTTTCCCACACTAGGCAAATACAATTCTTATTGTTATTAATAAATATACAATTGAATATTAACATATTTGTTACATTTTTCTAATAATATCAATAATGTCAGTTTTAGATAACTTTTCTAACCAAAACATATCTTAATTGCATTTGCACTTAATATCCATATGTTCAATCAGTATCCTGTTTTTGCTTTTTTTTAAAAAAAAAAAAATTTCCCCTCAGTGTTCAAAATGTCTCTAGTGTTTGTAATTTCAAAGTAAGTTATATTGGGGTAACCAAAAGCTTCCCTTATTCAAACTTCTTAGCATTTTCCTGTTTCCCTTCTCATACCAAATCTAATATTCTAATTACAAATCTTATCTTTCTAGTTATGATAATACTTCTATTCCTAGCAATTATCTATTCTCCACCATCTTCAAACATCTAGTGGATCAAAACCTCTATTTTCTTCAATATTACTCTAGCTTTGCGTATTAATTCCAAATTAATCTTGTAATTTTTTCTGTTTCTCCCAAGTAATTAGTTCGCCGCTTTTCTTTTCCTGGGGAATGGGGTGGAAATTCCCCTTCCCTCTCTCATCAGGGAGGATGCTTTGGGCAATTTTTTCAGGAAGAAGTCTGGTTTGGAGGGCTTCCTCGGAACAAACAGAAGGGCCCCTGCCTTCTGGCGATCAACGAGGGTCTCCTCCTTGCTTGTTGCCTCTATAGGGTGACTTTCGACCCTTTCCAGGGTCCCCAGTGGGGCAAAATCAAATGCAAAAGACAGAGCCCTGTCTTCCTGCGCCCATTCTGCTGTGATGTCAAACCAGAAGCCCTCTACATCCTTATCTTGATGACTATAAACAAATTATTAATCATCCAACATTTCTTACAATTTGCTGAAAATTATGTAAGCCTTAGGTGTAGTGGTGAAGGCATCAGGCTAGAAAACAAGAGACCGTGAATTCTAGTTCCACCTTAGGCCAAAGCCAGCTGGATGACTTTGGGCCAGTGAACTCTCTCTCAGCCCTAGGAAGAAGGCAATGGCAAACCACTTCTAAAAAACCTTGCCCAGAAAACAGCAGGGACTTGTCCAGGGGATTGTCAGGAATAAACATTGACTGCAAGGAATGCTTGCATGCATGCATAAATAAATCATCAATGTTAACATTATGTATACACAAACATAATTCCTGCTTTAAAAGAATTTAGACTCAGATCAGGGGGCCTAGATGACTATCCGCACACCATCCTAGACATCAACCAGATGCAACCAGGCTACAGAGTCAACTGGCCTTTGCTTATCCATTAGCTTAAGTCTCCTCAGGCAGCAATAGGATCTTCCCCAGTTGGCAAGCAATAGCAATAGCACTTAGGCTTTACAGCCCTCTCTAAGCAGTTCACAGTGTCAGCATACTGCCCCCAATAATCTGGATCCTCATTTTACCGACCTCGGCAGGATGGAAGGCTAAGTCAACCTGGAACCGGTGAGAATCGAACCTGTGCAGAATGAGCCTGCAATACTGCATTCTAACCACTGCGCTACCTTTTTCATTTTTTTGTACTCCATATTCTCTCGCGAAGGGATTCCTAAGCTGTGTTCCACAGAACCTTAGGGTTCCCCTAAGAACTTGATGGGATTCTATGACAAAAGGCAAAATACAAAAAAAAAAAAAAAGTTCATTTGAGCAAGCCAGAAGCATCCATAGCAAATGGAAGGAGTGGTGTGCGGGAAGAGGGGTTCCTACTGTGGAAAAAAAGTACCACAGTTGCCATTTTGTGGATTGAAGTTCTGGGGTTTAAAAAAATAAAGCAGGATCTGTGGCCTGAAAAAGACAGAGGAATAGTCAGACATTTCCACTGATTCTTACTAGGAAGGAAAAGGTAATCATAGCTCTGTTGCCTGTTGTAATACAGACATGGCTTTCTATGTTTAGTTTGGGGGGGGTTGTTTTTTTTGTTTTAATTTTTGGGTGTTTTCGAATCAGTCTTGACTCCTGGGGACTTCCCAAACTAGTCCCTGCAGTTTTCTTGGCAACATTTTTGGAAGTGATTTGCCATCGCCTGCTTCTTCCTGGGACTGAGCGACTGTGATGGGCCAAAGTCACCCAGCTGGCTTCCACATCTGAAGAAGGATTAGAATTTAACAGTCTCCTGTTTTTTAGCCTGGGTTCCTTAAACCACTAATGTCAAAGTGACTCTCTTCCATGACCTTTAGCTAGTTTAAAGCATTCCCCAAATGGTTTCAACGTAATTAAAAGTAGCTTGTATATATGTGACTGAAACAAGTTTATTATATGCACAAAGATGGAAGAGCAGATGGAAGATGGATCATTAACATGTCAGAACTAGCGGAAATGGCAAAATTAACCTCTCTGGTCAGGCAGAAAACAAGCATATTTTTTTTTAAAAAAAAGAGAGACTGGAAACCTTTTATAGAATTTTCACTAAAAGAAGAAAGTGAGATGATGATTTATGGATTTAATGATTGAAACAGATGAGAATTCAATAAAGGGTTGAAAGGATTTCTACAAGAATTAAGAAGGAGGCTAGACGGTAGATTTGTTAATAGCTGTCAAAGAAAACATTGGAAGCCATTATATTTCATGACTTTAGGTTTTTTTTCCCTTCCCTTGCACTTCTTTCCTTTTTTCTTTTCCTTTAGATTTGCTTTATACTCTCTATAAAATCCTCAATAAATATAAATAATAATTTTAAAAAAAAACACCTCAATGTGATCTAAGTAACGTTCATGGTTAATCAATGTCCATCCAGTGTCCATTCAGGACCAAAATGAACACCATTGAATACATGGATTTACAACCATAATTGAGCCCAGAATTTGTTGCTGAGCGAAACATTTGTTAAATGAATTTTGTCCCATTTTATGACCTTTCTTGCCACAGTTGTTAAGTGAATCGCTGTAGTTGTGGTTGCTAAGCAAACCTGATTTTCCCATTGACTGTGCTTGTCAGCAGGTTGCAAAAGGTGACCACGTGACCCTAGAACGCTGCAACCATAATAAACTTGAACCAGTTGCCAAACATCCCAATTTTGATCACGTTACCATGGGGATGCTGTAAAGGTCATAACTCTGAACGGTCACTAAATGAATTGCTGTAAGTTGACGACTACCGGTAATGGGGGAACATGGCTGCTAAATCAATGCTCATAGCATTTTGTGATTCCTTTGCATTTTAGTATGTCTGTTGGGATTTGCTTTGGGTAGGGCAGGGGTAGGCAACCTTGGCTCTTTTATGACTTGTGGACTTCAACTCCCAGAATTCCTGAGCCAGCCATGACTGGCTCAGGAATTCTGGGAGTTGAAGTCCACAAGTCATAAAAGAGCCAAGGTTGCCTCCCCCTGGGGTAGGGCATCCAAGCCAAGGCAGGCGTATGAAAGGCTGACAGCTCTAATCTCAGTGACAAGGAGACATGTGTTTTTCTGCACGAAAGGCAGTTTGCATGTTGCTCAGAATAGGTCGGCACCTCCCAGAGAGAAAAGGAGAGTCAAAATGGGAGTGTGATGAATTTTTTTCAGAGCTCTAATTTTAATCCACTTCTGATGAAGAATGTCCTGTTTGCCTTTTTATGTTCTCAAGATATTTTGCAAGTCCAGTCAAGTCCTTCGTTGCCCTACCCAAGGCTCCAGCTTAGGAAATCCAGTGACAAGCCAAAAATGAAAGTCATCTGTGATTAAAAGCCAAAAAAGGAAGCTTATGAAAACCAGCCACTTTATACTTCTTTTAGTTTTGCAAGTCATGTTGTCATCTCCCTTTTTTTAAGTACAACAGAAAGTGATTTTATTATTATTAGGGAGGCTATTTTTTATTATTTTTGCATAGGACTATATTCTGAAAAGAATTTAGCCTGTCCATTTAAAGAACACATTGGTTTTTTATACAGCCCAAACTCTCCATGGGTGAGCATGCATGCCTGGGTGAAGAACATCTCTTCTTTTTGAGAAAGCTGTTGTTGAGTCACCCTTGTAGGGCTGGTTTCTATATTTGTTCAGGGGGGAAAGCTCACTGAATTTAGTGGGACTTACTTCTCAGCTAGCCTGTCTGATAGCTACGGAAAATCTTTTTGACTGGTATGTTTTGTATTCAGAGGAACAAAGAAATAGCTGTCATGGGGGCTGTTCATAAAACTTTTTTTTCTTTTTACAATCCTTTAATTCAGGGGTCCCCAACTTGGGCCACGGCCGCTTGGCCACCGGACCGCGTGAAGGGATGGCCAGTGCATGTGCACACACACATGCACTCACCTCCCTCCACACTCGCACTAGCACCGCCCCGAGCATCCTGCCAGCGCTAGCACCACCCTGCCCTGAGCGTCTCACCGGCACTAGCGCCGCCCCGAGCATCCCGCCGGCGCTAACACCACCCCAAGCATCCTTCCAGCACTAGCACCTCCCCACCCCCGAGCGTCCCACCGGCACTAGTGCCACCCATAGCTTCCCGCCAGTGCTAGCGCCGCCCCATTTGCAGCACTCGCACCTGCGCAGCCGTTTGGACATGTGCACGTGCTCACATGCAGCCGTTTGTGTGTGCGCATGCATTCGCACATGGCCCATTTGTCTGTGCACATGTAGCAGTGCCTGCCTCCCTTTCCGGGCTGCCAAACCAAAAAGGTTGGAGACCTCTGCTTTAATTCCTTCATTTGGGGTGGAATTGGGGCGACTGAATGGAGCTGAGACTTCATTGGCTGGGTGCCCTTCCTGATGCCTATGCAGAGTTCACAGCAGATATTTTCTTTGCACCCTGACAGGAAACAGCTGCCTAGGATTGAACTCTCAACCTTCCAAGTGGGAGGTAAGCATCTTCACCTCTAGGCCACTGCACTACTCTGTTCATAAAATAAATATTCTCCCCAAATACCAGTTCTCATTATTACAAGGCAATATAAGTCATTAGGTGAGAAATTACAGACTAATCGAAAATATTTATTAAAAAAGCCATATCATTTTTATAGCATGAGACAAAGATGAAGGAATCTCTTTCTATCCTTGCAGCAATTGTGGGAAGGGAGCCCCATCAGTCTGCTGTAGTTCCAAATCAGGAGTCTGGTAGTAACTTTTCCAACTAACAATTTTATCAAAAGGCATAAACTTTCATGAGCAGCAGCTACTTTCACCAGATGTATGCAGCTCCCAAGCACTTTTCTGAAAATGCTTTAGTCAGAAGGTGGCTACCTGATTTTCATATTCCTGTGCCAATGTCTTTTTTTTTTAAAGCAAAACAAGAAAACCAAGAGCTGGGATTGCAAAGAAAAAAAGGGGAGAGGAAAAAAAGGAGGAGCAGTGGAAAGAAGAGAAAGGGAAGAAAGGGAAAGAAAGACATGATAGGGGAAGCAAACAAACAGGTACCAGTCTAGAAGATCTGAAACGGCAAGCAATAGATCCACCAAGGTCCTGTGATTTGTGGACCAACAGGATGATCTTCCTTCTTGCTGGTCTCATCACCATAAAGGAGCAATTAAGAAAAGAATGTTTCTCAATTCTCTAGATCTCATTTCCTTTTCCAACCCAGGAAATGACACTATGCAAGAGCCTGGAACAGCCCAGCCCTTTGCCTCAGTTGGGCTTATCAAGCCCCACATATGGTCAAAGAGTAGGAGGAGTCATCAAAACAAGCTGTAGAAGAAATGTGAATAGAGGCAGAAGAAAGGGAGAGGAAATGGAAAGCTATGTGGAGGTGCTTGTGGGTCCCAGTCTTGGCACTCTGTCTCTCAACCACAGCAAAGCCCCTTCCCTCTTCCTCTTCCTGCAGATTCAGACCACCCGCTTCACAAATCCCCACCGTCCCCAAACATTCTAGTTTTCAGTTTGCAACATATTAAGACTATCATCTAATATGGAAAAAGCATGGAGCAAAAAAAGTCATTGCAACAAGTTTTTTTTTTCTTCTTCTCCAGGATAAATTTGGACAAGGCTGCAACTTTCTCACACCTGATGAATGCAGTGGAAGAATGTCCTTTTATCTGCTGCTGTGAAAGAGGGCAGAAGCCCAGTTCTGCTTCTTGTCAAGCAACAGACAAGAGCCCAGTCCAATTTTGCTCTATTAGGCACACATGGGTGGGTGTGGGAGAATCTTGCAGGCATTTGTCGGGAGAATGGCCCAACACCAACCCACACAAGCCGAGTAGGGATTAATCTAAAACACTGTTATGTTATAGCTCAGGGTACTAGATGACCTCCAAGGTCCCTTCCAACATTATTATTATTGTTGTTGTTATTGTTATTGTTATTATAATATAATCAGTGTAAAGCGGTGTTTCTCAACCTTAGCAACTTTAAGCTGGATGGATTTCAACTTCCATTGCTGGCTGGAGAATTCTAGGAGTTGAAGTCTACCCAGCTTAAAATTGCTAAGGTTGAGAAACACTGATGTGAAGTCTACAGCCACAGTACACTTCCTCTACCATAGAGCAAGGGCCTCTCCCACAGGCTTCCTCTTCCCTAAAAGACCATGCTTCCTCTCTTTAAATTCAGCTTACCTTTCTGTCAGCTATCTCAATTCCTACAGGTTTTTCAAAGCTGTTCCTTCTCCCAGGCCAAGTGCTTTGTTGCATACCGATGAGCTTACATCCGGTTAGTTGCTTCTCCCTCCACCCTCCCAATGAGCTTACCAATGGGGGGGGAGGGGCGAGCTAGTGGTGGGAGTAGAAGCCCTCTGTTGTTACTTCACCCAAGCAGGTTTCACTTTTGAATCAAAACTGTTTAGCTCTTATCTACAGCAGCAGCCTACCAGCTGCAAAACTCACGACAACCACAAAGCACACACACACAAAAAAACACCATTGCTTTCTGTACCTTTTGCCCTGCCATCTCCTAGATGTTTTCAGTCCAGATTAGGCAGCCCTATAGCAGGTAACTGCTGTCTTTGTGTCCCTAAGTCTGCTTTTGGGAAAGATAAAATTGGCTACCACCTGCTAAAGGGCTTTGTCCGTGTCTGCTTGGATGGAGAAAGATCAAGGAGGTTGGGGAGGCAACTGCTGAAAGAAAAAGCTCTGCTGATGCCAAAGAACACCCTGGTACTTTTGGACAGAATGTGCCAACCTAAGATTTACAGGGTGACATTAAGAAGTAGACTGGGAGGAGAAAGAGCAAAAATCCTATGCCTGCAGTTCTTCAGTTTTACGGGTGAGAAACTATGTTTAAATAAGCTCTAAAATCTCCTTCAGAAAAAAAAAAACCCAACCACAGGACGTCACAATTTACATTTTGCAGTGAAATGATAAATCTTGTCAGAAATTAGAAGGACTAGGAGTGGAGGTAAATCCTGGAATATAAAAAAATAATTTTAGGTAAAATACATGTATTATAAGAGATAATTTACCTATTTAGGGGTAATTTAGGTGTCTGTGTCCTAAATAATTTGGGGAAGGAAAAAAAAAACCTCCCACAGTGCCTAAATTGGACTATTCTACTGCAGGTTATTGGTCCTTAGGGGGAAAAAGGCTAGAATTTGTTTCAGTCTCTATGGTGTTGAAGTTAGTGGTTATGGTGAGAACTACAGCTTGCCAACTGCAGCTGTTTCCTGGAAGATATTAAAGCTTCCTGTTGCTAATAATTGACAAGCCGGGATTTGCAGGGCTTTGAATCTCAATCTGAGAAGTGAAGTGTCATAGCTGTGAGCATCTCCTTATAGAAGCCATGTAGAAGCTCTCAGGAACAAGAAATGTTTGAATTAAAGAAGAAGTTTCTTAGTGCAAACACATGTTTTTCTGAGGATTGTGCAGCTGCCACACAAGGCTAAGAAAAGATCCAGCTTCTTTAAGATGTTGACTGTTTCAGCATATACCGAAGCTGCTTTTTGGCTTCAGATCCAAAGTGCTGGTAGTACATCTTTCGAAGCAAGGCAGATGAGGTTAGCTCAGCTAGTCTGATCTTGAGTAGTCATGGGCCCTGGACAGCACACAAGAAGTCCCATTAAACACAATGGCAGTGTTAAAGGAGTAAATTATAGTAGATCAACTGATGCAGTCACAACCATTTTTTATCTGATTCCACTCAACCTATCTTAAGCAGGGTTTATGACAATAGCATCTACATTTATTATGTTGCAGGGTTCACTTGCAATCTTTAGGATACTTGCTATCAGTGATGGCTTAATTCTCATACCAGAAGTCCCTGGAGCAGGCATCATCTGATCAATAGTTCCATAATATTTATGATTTGATGCGTCGCTATGGGGAGAAAAAAAAGAGAAAATGTTGCAAAATAGCACATGTCTTTAGTTTATTATTTCCTTTTTTTTTCCTCTTGAAAATTCCATTTCACTTGATCCTCACAACAATTTTATCAGGAGGCTGGGCTGAAAAAAATTAACTAGTCCAAGGTCTCTCAGCCAGCTCCAGGGTCAAGTGGGGCCAAATTAGCTTCTTTACCATTGTACTACAAAGGCGAACTTTCATAGATGGAAGCTGAGGACAAACTTCTGCCCTTTTCAATGTCTCAGTAAGCATCCAATATTTAACACTGAGGAAAACACAGCCAATCAATATATAACCAGGCTGGATCTAATAAATCAGGAACCAGATGACAGAAGAGAGATACTGGAAACTCTCTTTGTGGTTACTGAATAGCTGTTTGTATTTTTGTTGTCCAGATAGGATTTGTGCTTAAATGAGGCTAAATTTCTGTGACCATTTGTTTTTCTTGTCCCAAAGCAATGAGCAATCTTCTAATTTTTCCAAAACATGTGGTTAATTTGAAATGAAGGGGGGGGGGGTCATAAAACAAGGTGACCAATGCAACGAAGACTGCCCAGAGTCACTTTGAAACGAGAAAGGTGGCAAATAAATGTAATAACAATGAAAAAATAATGCTAATAGGAAAGCCAACTTCATTCAGGAGCTATAACTGTATGCACACACAATCCTGAGTTAACACAGCCTAACTATTGTTTATTGCCGGGGGTGGACAATCTTTTGATGGCCGTAGAGCACACTGACATTTTTCAAAGGCTGAGGGCCCACAAACTGGTTTGGTCTCGAATTTTGTTTCGATAAATTATAGATTTTATGCATACTTCAACTCAAATCTGCAAAAGATTATGCTATGATTTTCAGTATTCATGGTCAGAGGAATCTCCAAGAGTCACAAAAAGGGATCCAAGACCTCTTGCAACCCCGAGGCCTGACTATCACAACTCCATAAAGATTGCTTATACAACTGGTTATACAACCAGTGTATTGTAAGAATGCAGTCATAACGTGGCTTGTTACTGCATACGGATGAATCCAGCCATCGCAGTTGGTAAACCACAAGTTGCTACCATGTTGTGTGAACTCAGATGATTGTGGTTTATTCAATAAACCATGATTAAGCAAACTATGAGCAAAGCCTGAGGCCCCTTTGCATGCGAGATTAAATGAGCAGCCTCGTGATTCAGTGTCGGGTCCTATGTTCTTAATAAAGAATCTGGAGTACCTTCAGAAGGTGGCTTTGTTCTATGCTCTCCATAGCTATTGAAAATACAGCGTCTACTATGTCAACTATGATTCTTCTTTTGAGAAGAAAAGGGCAGTTCAGTTTTTTGAACCAACCCGTAAAACGACCGACCGGGTTGGGCGAACCGGGTCCCTGTAATCTTCAAGTGAGGTGAGAACCGGTCCTGGCCAATCAGATTCGATCCGCAAACCGTGGTTTCTGAGAGCAAAGCCCCGATCTTTAACCGGAGATTAGGTCTCCAGAAAAAGGCGAGGGCGCGGTGGCTTACAAACTGCAGTCAGCTCCGCTCGCTTTTCTCCTAGTTGCAGAGCGTCGCTGAAATACTTAAAACTTGGGGGAGGGGGAGGGTCCTGCCAGGGAAGCGGGAAGGTAAAAGGCTCTCACCGGATCGCTTGCCTTGCTTGGGTCATGGCCGCGTAGAAGCTCTCTGGAAGCTAGAAGGGAATCAACCACAAGCTCGCCCGCCCGCCTGACTTTCCCCTTACTTTCACTTTCATTTCTCTTTAACCAATAACCCGGCCCCGCCCGACGAGTCAACTTCCCGGATTGCGAAAGTCTCCTGATTGGAGTTGGGAAGGAAAGCGCGAAAGAGGGAAGGGCTCCCTTTAGGGTTCGCGGCCAAAATGGGGGGCGTGTGTGGAGAGGGCGGGGTTCTCGCTCACGAATTATTTGGGACCGAGGCTGGAGATGCTTTTGTACCTCCTAGAGTTTGCCACGGTGTGTAGCGCCCGTCGGGTGCTGTGTATATATATGCATGTACATTTGGGGGGGGGGGGAGGTTGTAATTCCTTTGGGAAGAAACAAAAAGCCCGAAGATTAAGAAGCAACCCGCATTTGCCGAGTGAAGGACTTTTTCTACTTCTGAGATTTGTTGATGGGCTCCAGTCCCAAGTATTGACGAGGTCCTTCCCTGTTGTTTGGCCGCCCTAAGTTAGTCAGTGCTGCCCCTTCCATAGGTATGTTTACTAAGAACCGAATTCAAAGAGATATTTCCCCAGATAAAGTTCAAGCATCGCAACCCCTGCCCGCAATCATGAGAGCCTGACTGATAAATGGATTTGTTTTATATTACCATACAGCAGAATGTTTTCCAGATTTCGGACACATCTATATTATAAAACTGGTTACGGTGGTGATGACCCAGGTTCAAAAATCTCAGTCCCTGAAACTAATGGGTCCACCCTGGACAAATTATTACCTCTTGCCTAAGCTATCTCATTATTTTGGTGTAAGAATCAATAATGAAAGAGGAAACCATAGACGCTATGCCAGACTCCTGAAGATTTGTTGAATAAGTGTGGAAGAAGGCAAATTTAAGCATGTAATTTTCCATGAGCTGATGAACAGCACACAGGCAGGCTAAATTTTAAGGAGAAAGAGAATGAGGATGTGAGTCATTCCCAAAGTGGCTGCAGTGAGAGGATGGATAGTGTGCGTTGTTGACCTTATGCCCTACTTGTGATCTTCTCAAAGTCTCTACTTTGCTGTATGACTAGACCTTTGACTTCATTTAGCAGAGTTCCCTTTAGTCATTTGAGCAAATAAATCCTTCTAACAAGCAAAATGGACAGTCTGAGTACAAATTACTCCAGCAAAATACCCCAAGCTTAACAAGAATTATCAAATGTGCTTGACCGCTCAACCCTCTATGGAACAACCAACACAACCTATTTATTTTATTTATTAATCAAATTTATATAATTTCCCATCTCACAAGATGAAAAGGATAACATTGCCACACATTAATAACATCTCAGAAATAACCATCAAACTCTTACAGCCATACAGACCAGCTAAAGCCTTCCAGAACATGTTAAGTAAACCAAAAGACTCAGAAGCCCATGAAGAAAAAACAGGACTCATCTACAACAATACAGTATAAGGACTATAACAGCCACTACCTAGGACAGACAAATTGAAGACTTGCAGAATACATCCATAAATACTAACTAGCAGAAGGCACAACAAAAACCATTTAATTGCACAACACATGGACAAACTCAAACATATTTTCAACTGGGAACTCTGAACATCCTAGGGCCGTGGGCTGGACATGTCACGAAGAAACTGCCCCACCCCATTGCCAGCAATGGGGGAAAAGTTCCGATATGTCGTGCAACGTCACGTGACATGTCTGCCCTAGACTAAAGTAATTCCTGAAATGCTAAGGAATTCCTGGAAGTTTGGAAGTCAGCCATCAATAGACACATAGTGATAAACCACATGTACACACCATTCAAAAGAAACAATAAAAAGCTACAAAGAAACAAAAAGATCAGAACATATCCTTTCCAGCAGCGAACACCCAGATAAGCAGGGGATTAAAACCAAACTATCAAATAGAAACAATACCCTAATCAAGGAAATACCAATCAGAAAAATATCTCCGCCAGCACTCACAGGGCAAGCTACTATATATAAACGGGGAGCAAACCTCACATTCATTAGCACTGATATTGTTGCCTAGTTGGGTAATAAAATGTAGGCAAACAACCAAGCTCAGGGAAATTTTGAAATATGAGGTTATAAAAGCCCAGTCTAGCACAACACCAACAAAGAAGAAAAATAACAGCTCTCAAAAGAAACCAGCATGGCTGCATAAAGAACTCTCTGACAAATTGAAAGATAAAAAGGGCAAGTATAGAAAGTAGAAAGAGGGGCACATAACAAGGCAGAATATCAGCAAATAGCCCGAGCCTGCAAAGATGAAGTGAGGAAAGCTAAGGTTCAAAATGAACTAAGCTTGCAACAAAAGTCAAAAATAACAAAAAAAAACTTCTTTCAACATGTAAAAAACAAGAAAAAGGTTAAGGAAATGATTGGTCCATTAGTGGGAGAAAGTGGCATGAAGGTGACAAGCAACAGGGAGAAAGCAGAACTATTTAACTCGTTTTTTGCATCCGTCTTTACACAAAGGGAAAAAACAGCCCAACCTATCAAAAACAGTACCATAAAAAACAGATTAGAAAGACAAGTTAAGATAAGCAAGAAAATGGTAAGTGAGCACTTGTCCAGCCTAGAAGAGTTAAATCACCAGGACCAGATGGATTACACCCCAAGGTTCTGCAGGGACTGGCAGATGTGATCTCAGAACCATTGAACTATATCTTTCAAAGATCCTGGAGCAATGGGGAACTACCAAAGGACTGGAATAGTTCCCATCTTCAAAAAAGGAAAAAAAATGGATCCAGGAAACTAGAGACCTATCAGCCTGACGTCGATACCTGGAAAAATTCTGGAAAAGATAATCAAACAATGTATCATCGAACACCTAGAGGCAAACAAATTCATTAAAAAAGCCAACATGGGTTTGTCAAAAATAGATCACGCCAGACAAATCTTATTGCATTCTTTGACCAAGTGACAAAATCAGTGGACCAGAAGAATGCTGTGGATATAATTTACTTGGACTTCAGTAAGGCATTTGATAAAGTAGATCACAACCTACTACTTGATAAGATAGAAAAATGTGGGTTAGACAGCATCACCACCAGATGAATTGAATTGAATTGAATTGAATTTATTGAATTTATATACCGCCCTATCTCCCTTACGGGAGATGGATTCATAGCTGGCTGACCTGCCGTTCTCAGCATGTGGTCCTCAATGGAACTGCATCTACATGGAGGGAAGTGTGTAGAGGGGTGCCCAGGGCTCTGTTCTGCGCCCAGTGCTCTTCAACATCTTCATCAATGATTTGGGTGAGGGGGTAGATGGGGAACTCATCAAATTTGCAGATGACACCAAGCTGGCAGGAATAGCCAACACTCCAAGAAGATAGCCTTAAGATACAGGAGGATCTTGACAAAATGGAATTCAAAAGTAAGATTTTACATTTAGGCAAGAAAAACCAAATTCACAGGTATAGTATAGATGGTACCTTACTCAATAGTAGTAATTGTGAGAGGGATCTCGGAGTCCTAGTGGACAATCACTTAAATATGAGCCAGCAGTGTGCTCCAGCTGCCAAAAAAGCCAACACAGTGCTAGGCTGCATTAACAGTGGGATAGAATCAAGATCACATGAAGTGTTAATACCACTTTACAACGGTAAGGCCACTCTTGGAATACTGCATCCAGTTTTGGTCACCAAGATGTAAAAAAGATGTTGAGACTCTAGAAAGAGTACAGAGAAGAGCAACAAAGATGATCAGGGGGCTGGAGGCTAAAACATATAAAGAACAGTTGCTGGAATTGGGTATGTCTAATGAAGAGAAGGATGAGGGGTGACATGATAGCAGTGTGTTCCAATATCTCAGGGGCTGCCACAAAGAAGAGGGAATCAAGCTATTCTCCAAAGCACCTGAAGGCAGGACAAGAAGCAACGGATGGAAACTAACCAAAGAGAGAAGCAACCTAGAACTAAGGAGAAATTTCCTGATAGTTAGAACAATTAATCAGTGGAACAACCTGCCTCCAGAAGCTGTGAATGCTCCAACACTGGAAGAGACTAGACAGCCATTTGTCTGAAATGGAATAAGGGTTTCCTGCCTGAGCAGGGGTTTGGACTAAATGACCTCCTAGGTCCCTTCCAACTTATTATTATTATTATTATTATTATTATTATTATTATTATTATTAGTAGTAGTAGTAGTAGTAGTAGTAGTAGTAGTAGTAATAGTAATAGTAATAGTAATAGTAGTAGTATTATTACCAAGTATTCAACAATTAGATTGCTTTCACAAAGGATTCTGTTTCAAACTGTTTCCTCTTTTCCCAAAACACTTTCTTCTGTTAAACTGATAGGCAAATATCTGATATTCCATGGACCAATGTTCCCCATCCTGATATTTTCCATAGCAATTCCCAAGATCCCCATGGATATCGAAATACTGGGAAATGCAATTCCTAGACATGGAGGGAGCCACATTGACAAACAATGCCTAAACCAGGGTTAGGGTTCTAGTATTTCATATTTTGATAACTGTATTTGAGGCTCATTGATTTCCTTTGCAATACAGTTCTAGCTCTGCATTTTATACACATGAATGCATTTTACTGAGAAGTGGGTCTGAGGTTTCACCAGATTCTCAAAGGAGTGAATGGCCCAAAAATAAACAACACTTGATCCAGACCATCAATCTTACTTATATTAATAATAATAATAATAATAA